CAGTAGTGGTAACAATATTAATGTAACCTGTGGTAGTAGAAGCCGTAGTAGTAGTAGTAGTAGTAGTAGTAGTAGGAGTAGTAGTAGTAGTAGTAGTAGTAGTAGTAGTAGTAGTAGTAGAAGAACAAGAAAAAGTAGTGATTGTTGCTACTGTAGCAGTAGTAGTAGTAGTAGTAGTAGTAGTAGTAGTAGTAGTAGTAGTTGTAGTAGTCGTAGTAGCAGTAGTAGCAATAGTAGTAGTAGTAGTAGTAGTAGTAGTAGTAGTAGTAGTAGTCGTAGTAGTAGAAGTAGAAGTAGAAGTAGTAGTAGTAGTAGTAGTAGAAGTAGTAGTAGTAGTAATAGTAGTAGTAGTAGTAGTAGTAGTAGTTGTCGTAGTCGTAGTCGTAGCCGTAGTAGTAGTAGTAGTAGCAGTAGTAGTAGTAGTAGTAGTAGTAGTAGCAGCAGTAGTAGTAGTAGTTGTAGTGGTAGTGGTAGTGGTAGTGGTAGTGGTGGTAGTAGTGGTGGTAGTAATAGTAGTAATAGTAGTAGCGGCAGTCGTAGTAGTGGTGGTGGTGGTGGTGATCGTGGTGGTGGTAGTGCTGGCAGTAGTCGTAATAGTAACGGTCGTAGAAGTAGTACTAGCAGTAGTATCAGTTGTATTCGAAGTATTTGTACTCGTAGTAGTCGTATTAGGAGTATTTGTAATCGTAGTAGTTGTAGCAGTATTCGCAGCCTTCGTCGTCGTCGTCGATGTCGCCGTCGTCGTCGGCGTCGTCGTGGTAATCGTAGTCGAAGTCGAAGTCGAAGTCGAAGTAGTAGTAGTAGTAGTAGTAGTAGTAGTAGTAGTAGTAGCAGTCGTAGCAGTCGTGGCCCTCTAGGCTGTCGGGCCCCGATCGGCGTGAGCGGGCTATCAGCGATAGCCCGCTCCCGCTTGGGAACGTGCGGTTTCGCTATCAGGGGGCCTATCGCCAATGTGTCTGCGATGTATCGCCGATTTCAGCTTGGTGTGCCCCCCCTGAGCTGGTCGCCCCTGATCGTTGCCTGCATACCCACAGGGAGAGCGGAGGGGGCTATACGGGTGCGTGGTGTCAGAGAGCGTCCCCTCTCGCACGGGAGCCTCCCCCAGGGGTCCGACAACCTGCAACCATACGCATAGACAGTCCTCCTCCCACCGACCCCCCCTCGCAAGGGTATGGGAGATTGTCGTTCGTGCGTCGATTTCGGCGGCGACGTCGACCACCATCGCTATACGACCACCACGACTTGAAGCGGGACGAGGGGCCGAGGAGGCCCAGCATTGCCTCTGGCCAGCAGGAACGGCGGGGGGGGGGCGAGGCTCGAGGTGGTGGGTTTGGGAAGGTGTCTGAGTTTTCTCTCTGTGATATACCTGGGTGCCGGTGTCGGGCCGCGGGACCGTCAACAACGGAGCCGCGGTGGGAAAGCTGCACCAGATGGGCCCCAGGAGTGGGTCCGGGCACGGATTCTGGCCGGATTTGGTTTCATTCCGCCTTCTGGCCTATTTCCCCGCCCCCTTGGCCGCCTACAAGTCTCAGGAGGTCCGGGGAGGATTTCGACGACGACGACGACCATCAGCACCACGCGGCGAGCTACTTGTGGTTAGTCAAGGATCATGACCTCTCGCTCCTCTGAAGGGCGAAGACGGAGATTGGCGGAGGAGGATGCGGAAGAGAGGAGGAGGAAGAGGAGGAGAGGAGGAGGAGGAGGAGGAGGAGGAGGAGGAGGAGGAGTGGCAAGCAACACGAGGAGGAGGAAGATAAGCGAAAAGCGAGAAGGCGGAGAAGGAGGAGGAGATCAGGAAGAGGAGGGGGGACGAAAAGAACTGACGAGGAACACCTGGTTGCGCGAGGAGTGGGCGTGGGTGGGGGGGGGGGAACCCACTGACTGGCGGGAACGACTCCCTGCGGGGGGCTCCCCACCCGCCCCCGGACCCCCAATGCGGTGATCTCTTTGCAGCGTGCCCCCCCCCGAAGCTCTCGACCCCGCCCGCTGGGCCCGGCTCTGGCTGAGCGGGTCGCTCCTCGGGATGCTCCCGGGCGCCGCAACGGCGAGCGCCAGTCGCGATGGGCTCGCAACGCCTGGAGGCGCGGGAGCGGCAGGGCTCTGCGGGGCTGTGCACGGACAGTCTCCGAGGACGCCGCACCGAGTCGGCGACGGAGGCAGCGCTCGGCGGGTGTTGAGACCGCCGTGCGCCACCCTCGGGACTCGTTGAGGTCCTTTATCATCATCGTCATCATCGTCATCACCATCACCATCATCATCCTCATCATCATCATCATCATCATCATCATCATCATCATCATCATCATCATCATCATCACCGTCATCATCAGCAGCATCAGCAGCATCAGCATCGGCATCATCATCATCATCAGCATCATCATCATCGTCATCATCATCATCATCAGCAGCATCAGCAGCATCAGCATCGGCATCATCATCGGCATCAGCAGCATCATCATCATTCCATCACCTGCGCACAGTATGCCTGCGTCCTGTCGCGAGCAGGCATCAGTGCTGCCAGAGTTGCAGAGCGGCCGCGTGCTTCACGCGTCCTGTCGCGGCTTGTTGCGGCCAGCCTGTCCGGTGATGGGCCCGTGCGCAGCCCCGCGCCCGACGTCCAGCGGCCCGGTCAGTTCGGGACGTGAACCACGGGACCGCTTCACCTCGTCCAAGGGGCCCGCTTTCAAGCCCGAGCTGCTCTGGAAGGCCCCGGTGCCCTGACCCGCAAGTTTCGGCAGCAAATCTTTGGGGCCTTGTGCACCCGCTTAGTTACTTCCGTCTTTAGCTTTGTTTAGCTTCTTGTGAGGTAGTGCCGACTTAGCGTCGGCTCCCGTCGGCTATCGTCATTTAAGCGTCGATTAGAGTCGATCCGCGTCGGTGAGCGTCGATTCCCAAGGGCCAAAAAGATGGTACGGGAGGCTCCAGGCTCCCAGGAGATGCTTCAGGACAAAGTGGCGTCCAGAAGCCCCGAATGAGCGACTCAGAACAAGCGGGGGCGACTGCGAGGTCATTCGCGCGTAAGCTGCCCGCACAAGCGGTGTGCCACGCTGGCGGCCCGCGTGAGCCACTGTAAGGTCGCTCGCTGTTCTTCTCGCGCGAGACCCGATACATCGCGTCGCTGAAGTTGCGGGAAACCTGCCGCGACTATTTTTTCGAGCCGCCCGACGTCCAAAACCCGGTGCTGTGCCCAACTGCAGATGAGGTCCAAAACCCGCAGCGGCCTCTGTTGGACAGGCGACATGTTGTTTCAAAAGGACCCACGTCCGCGGCAACACCGATAGCGTGTCTGAGCCAAAGTTAAGAACTGCTCTTGGTCTTCGTCACCACTCTCCCCGTACAGTCAACCCGCATAGTAAGGATGGGCAGCCTTTCCAAGGCTACCCCCGCGTCCTTGCCCCTTCGGCCCATCCTCGGCGACTCTCGCTGGCCAGCCTCGCTCGAAGAACTTCCGCGTGGCCCTCCGAGGCCCTTTGCGTCCTTGCCGCGCATCCCTATCACACGGGCTGGCTGCACCCCTCTCGATCCTCCAGGTCTGCGTCTGGGCTGCCGGGCCCTCCGAGAGCCTGCCGCCCGGCGCCCTGGCCGCCCGGGGAGATGCGCACGGCCATGCTCGGGAGAGTTCGCCCCCAGAGCGTTCCGGAACACCCGGAGCGTCCGAGAGGACGTTCTGGAACGGCCGCGGCGCGCGATGTATCATCCAGAGCCGCCGGACCTCGGAGCTCGACGAGGGATCCCAGTCCGAGTCTGTCCTGGTCCCGGCTTCGTCTTGCGATCGGGGGTTCTTGGACAGCGTGTCGCTCCGCCCGCTCTTCCCCACCACGCTTCGGCGCGACGCGCTATGCACTTTCCCAAGCATTAGCGTACGCCCCGAGCTTGTAGCGCGGAGCGACAGGCTACCCGCTTGCAGGGCGTAGCGTGTCTCCGTGTCCGCCGTGGCGACACGTGAATTACATCAACAAGTTTCCAAGCATACCATCCGAAAGCTCTCCGCCCGACTTTCCTGGCACAACAAGAACCTCAACCACAATTTAATGGATTTGTTAGGACGGCCCCTCGGGGAAGAACTCACCGAGCTCGACTTGAACACTTTGGTTGTGGCCATGGTCGATCTGGCCGTCCTGGGACGCCACATCGACCACAGCCAGCACGTCGGGCTGGACTCGGTGTACTCATCTGACGATGGCCTGCACACGCAAGACATTCCCGAGGGCGTGCCCTCGATGTGGCTGTGGTCGCTTGCTGTCCCCGCCCGACGCGCCCCTGTGGATGATGGGCGCACGATGCTTTTTGAACAGGCGATGGGAAGTGTGTGTGTGTATTTGTTAGCGTTAAGTCGGGCTTGCCACTCTACAGGAGGAATATTCAAAAATAGTGAGGAAAAAGTCCAGGGACATTTTTTGGACAATATCTAGACTATTTTTGACATTTTGTTTACTGTTTTCTATTTCTCCTCAAAATTCCGCCTGCAGGGTGACGCGCCCGACCTGGTGTCAGCGCCGGCCCGTGGGCTCTTGAGAAGCCCACCTGGCGCTTTGAAACAGCTGTCTCGGCTCGGGCCAGAGACCACGGAGGTGAGCAAGAGCAGCAAAGCGACACCAAACTGTCGTAACAATACCGCGTCTTCGAAGAGGATTACTTGGCCCAACCCGAAGGCCTCAATTTGCCCTCCATCTCCATTGGGGTGGGGTCGAGGAACATCGAAAAAACACGTGTGGAACCCGTACCCCCCCAACCCGAAATTCGGGTCTTCGGGTTCGGTTGGTGTGGTCTGGAAGGTAGTCAGAAGAAAAGGCATAAACGTAAACTTTTGGCGCTCCGCGCGGATGTCTCGGATCCGCGCTGGCCCTCCCCCCCCCCCCCGGCGGCGCCTCCGGCGCCGCCCCTGGCGCGATCCGCGCGCCAGGGAGGGGGTCCAGCGCAGATCCAAGACATCCGCGCGGAGCGCCAAAAGTTTGTGTTTGCGCCAGCTGTCCCTCCTCGATGTCTGTGCTTCTCCGGAGACTCCGCGATGGGCCGCCGCGCGGCGATCCCGGCCGTGTGCCTGCTGCTGTCGCTGGCCTGCGCCCCCGCGCGCGGCGGCGGCTTCCTGGACCAGGCGCGGCTCGCCCGCCGCTCGGGGTGGGCGCCTCCGAGCTCGGCCTCCGCTTCCTCCCCGTGGTCGTCGTCGTCTTCGTCGTCGTAATCGGCGTCGTCACCGGCGTCGTCGTCGTCGGCGTCGTCACCTGCGTCGTCGTCGACTTCGTCGTCGTCGTCACCTTCATCGTCGTCGTCGCAGCAACCTTCGTCGTTGTCACCTTCGTGGTCGTCGTCGTCGTCAGTGTTGTCGCCTTCGTCGCCGTCGACGTCGTCGTCACCTTCGTCGCTGTCGTCGTCGTCGTCATCAGTGTCGTCACCTTCGTTGTCGTCATCGTCGTCGTCTTCGTCGTCGTCGACGTTGTCATCGTCGTCACCGTTGTCGTTGTCGTCGTCAGCTTCGCCGTCGTCGTCACCTTAGTCGTCGTCGTCGTTAGCTTCGTCACCTTCGTTGTCGTCGTCGTCGTTACCTTTGTCGCCGTCGTCGTCGGCGGCACCGTCGTCGTCTTCGTCAGCGTACTTATTGTCGTCGTTGTCGCCTTGTCGTCGTCGTCGTCGTCACCTTCGTCGTCTTCGTCATCACCTTCGTCGTCGACACCTCCGTCGTCGTCGTCGTCGTCGTCGTCGTCGTCACCTCCGTCGTCGTCGTCAGCGACACATTTGTCGTCGTCGTCAGCGTCGTCACCTTCGTCGTTGTCACCTTCGTCGTCGTCGTCGTCACCTTCATCGTCGTCGTCGTCGTCGTCACCTTCGTCGTCGTCATCGTCGTTGTCACCTTCGTCGTCGTCGTCGTCAGCGTCGTCGCCTTCGTCGCCGTCGTCGTCGTCGTTAGTCACCTTCTTCGCTGTCGTCGTCGTCGTCAGTGTCGTCACATTCATCGTCGTCGTCGTCACCTCCGTCATCGTCGTCGTCGTTGTCGTCGTCCCCTTTGTCGTCGTCATGGTCGTCAGCGTCGTCCTCGTCGTCACCTCAGTAGTCGTCGTCGTCAGCGTCGTCTCCATCTCGTCGTCGTCGTCGTTTCCTTCGTCGACGTCGTCGTCGTCGTCACCTTCGTCGTCGTCATCGTCGTCATCGTCGTCACCGTCGTCGTTGTCGCCGTCGTCGTCGTCGACGTCACCTTCGTCGTCGTCGTCGTGATTGTCAGCGTCGTCGCCTTCGTCGTCGTCGTCGTCTCCGCCAGCGTCGTCACCTTCGTCGTCGTCGTCAGCGTCGTCACTTTCGTCACCGTCGTCAGCGTTGTCACCTTCGTCGTCGTCGCAGTCACCTTCGTCGTCGTCGTCATCGTCCCCTTTTTCGTCGTCGTCGTCACCTTCGTCGTCGCTGTCGTCGTCGTCGTCAGCGTTGTCACCGTCGTCGTCGTCGTCGTCGTCGTCAGCGTCGTCAGCGTCGTCGTCATCGTCGTCGCCTTAGTCGTCGTCGTCAGCGTCGTCACCTTCATCGTCGTCACCTTCTTCTTCGTCGTCGTCAGCGTCGTGACCTCCGTCGTTGCCGCCCTCGTCGTCGTTGTCGTCGTCGTCGTCACCTTCGTCGTCGTGGTCGTCAGCGTCGTCACCTTCGTCGTCGTCGTCGTCATCGTCGTCGCTAGCCTCGTCACCTGCGTCGTCGTTGATGCATCGCCGATGTATCGCCGATGCGGAGCGATTCTTCGACCCCATCTACTCCCACCCTATCTAGGAGGCCTCTAATTCCGGAGCATCGAGCAATCAACAAAAACCGCACGGAATCGAAAAGTGCACGGGGAAAGGATGTCCGAGCGATGGCGAGCACTGGGCGGCCCAGACAAACGAACGGGCAGGTCTTGCCCGTTGTGGGCCTCCGAGCGGCCCGGACACACTCACGGCCCGTCAAAAGCCAGGACGGGCAGGACTTGTCCGTTTGTGTTGGCTATTGGGCGGCCCAGACACGCTTGCGGCGGAGAACAAAATCAGGACGGGAAGGTCTTGCCCAGTAAAGGGCCTCTGGGCGGCCCGGACTCTCTCGCGGCCCGATAGAATTGATGACGGGAAGGACTTGTGCGTTTTTGTTGGCCCCTGGGTGGCCTGGCCACGCTTGCGGCCCTAAGTCAGGACGGGAAGGTCCTGCCGCCTGCCCGGTAAAGGGCCTCTGGGCGGCCCGGACACGCTCGCGGCCTCGAACTAACAAAAATCAGGACGAGCAGGTCGCCCGGGTGGCAGAGCCGGACCCCCGGGCAGCGGGCCGGGACCTTGGGGACCTCGGCGCTGGAAAGACGATTTCGATGGTTTCCGATTCCGATTCGATTCGATTTCGGATTCCGATTTAGGCTCCGATTTCTCAACAGAGGCCCACAAGCTTGCCGACCCCCACTTCCTGGCATCACGTTCAGCGTTTCCCCTCCCTCCCCCCTCTTCTCTGCCCCGTCTTCTCTGTACCAACTGACAGTGTGGCCGTCAGCCACTTGCGTTTCCTGGCGCCGCTCCCCCCCCACCTCTCCTCCTCCTCCGCCGACCGGTGACGGTCCCTGCACTGCGCCTGGCTTCGCCCCCCGCCCCTGGGGATCCGGCTCTACGGCGCTGTCAATACCTGGCACGATGCCCCTTGCTGGGGCGGGGCACAGCGTGCCACCACACGGCCCTGGCCGTTTGCTGTAGCTGATTTCACTCTGGCCCTCTCCCGCACCCGGCCACAGCCTGGCCTGGTATCCCTGGTGAGTTGGCCCCTCCTTCGTGACGATCACTCGGCTCACGCATGCCGCGCCGCTAGCACTTGGCCTGGGGAGCTCTCAGCCTTCAGCTGCTTGCTGCGCCGCCCCTATTGGCGCCGTCTGGCCCCCCCTGGCCACCGCCGCACTGCCGCCGACCACAGCCTGCTTGCGGCTCCCGGGCTTTCGCCCTCAGTCCCTGGTGTCTGTTGGTGTCCGTGCTGGCTCCTTTGAGCCTGGTGAGGTAACCCTGGCGTCCCGGTGACTTGCACGTCGACCAGCTCCAGCTAGCATGCTCGCATGTTCCTGGCCCCTGGTCCCCAGACATTGCCACAGCCTGGTCGTATTTGCAGCTGCCGCCTTGCAATGGTGGGATGCACCTCCGCGCGGATTGCTCATGTGTGCTTCTTGTTCAACCACCTGAGGTTGCCATTGTTGGCATGCAACACAGGTACGCTGGGCTGCTGGCTCAGCCCCACGCTATGCCGTGCTTTGCTCGGGTGGCTCGTTTACCTCTGGCGCCTGGCACGACAAGGTACCATTCGTTTGCCTTCCCGGTGTCAGCCGGCTGGCACACCTGGTCATTTTGCAGCTCTGCCTTCAGTCCCCAGCGTCGCTCCTCGGCGTTCCTCGGCGGCAGTTTCGGCGGCCGTTAGTTCGCGCGCTTAGGTAATTAGGTTTGGCTCGTAGCCTGGGCTGACTTCGGACGCCGCCTGCGCTTCCGCTTGCGGCCGCGACGAACAAACATTCCCACCAGCCCATCCAGAAACGATGTCCAGGCGAGTCGAGGTGATCAGGGCAATGCGGGAGTAAAGAGGTGGACGGCCGAACCGTGCGATGGAGGGAGGAGGAGAAGAAAGAGGCCGGATGGATGGATGAGGGAGTGGGGAGAAGAAAGATGAATATGATGATGTTGATGATGCTAATGATGATAATGAGGATGAGGAGGAGGAGGAAGACCAGGAGGATGAGGAGGAGGAAGAAGAGAAGGAATGCGCCATTCCAAGGGTCATCCCGATTCCGGTGGCTCGATTCGATTCGACCTTCCCGGCTGCCGATTCGAACCGACTCGATGTGGAGATCCCGACTCGCGATTCCGATTTCGAGTTTGCCAGATCCTCTTCCTGCCGATTCGATGCGTCAGCCGACTTCTGCCTATTCTTGCCGATCCGGCTTTATTCTGGAGGTATAGTTTACGCCGCATTGTGTCCCACGCGTTTTCTACGTCCTTGACGGTACGCAGCATCTGCAGAGTTGGGCGAGCTGAAAAGAGGGTGGCACTGGCGACGAGCGCCGAAGCGTCCCGACGGCCTGACGACGCTGGCGCGGTGTCGCTGAACTGCGCTCGGGGCTCAAGAAACGGGGGTCAATGCACACTGGAGTCAAAGCGCCGCATCTTGCAGGCTCCTGCAGGCCAGGGCTGCACTGACCCAGGCTTGGGTGCAGGACCCTGCAGGCTCCTGCAAGATCTTGCAGCATCATGCAAGGCCTGCCTGACCCGGGTTTGGATTGACCCTGGTCAGTACGTCTCCGATGCGGGTAACTTGCTGTCGTCGCCCTCGCCGTCGGCGACGCTGACGCTGTCGTCGCCGCCGCCGACGGGGCCGTCGCCGACGCCCTCGGCCAACGGCCAGCGGGCGGCGGGGGCCCGAGAGGGTGTTAGGGGGTCGGTCCCTTGCGAAGGAGGGCCCGAGGAGGCCACGGCGCGATGGCCCTTCGGGGCCCCGACGTGGCCCCGAAGGGCCCCAAGGGGGCCCCCAAGGTTTGAGTCGGGCATGTCCCTCTACAGGAGGAATCTTCGTAAGTAGTCACAACACAGTCTGGGGGCGATGTTTCGAGTTGTTCCGGCGTTTGAATATCTGTTTTGATTAGTCTGTTTTAGCATTCTTTCAAAATCCGCCCGTAGGAGGACATGCCCGACCAAACCCAAAGGTGGAGGCCCCGCAGGGTGGGGCCCGAAAGGAGCAGGTGCAGCCGCCGGTGGACTGCTGGAGGGGTGGTTCCCGCGGGCGCTTCCGCCCGGAACGAGGTGCCACCAGCTCGAGAGTGTGGGACGCCGCCGCCCCCCCTAGCTGCGTGGTGGTGTTTTTTTTGTGTCTCTGGTGAATCTCGCTTTCACCCCACCCTCCCCGCTCCGGGAAGCCCGCGCCCCCCTGCCGGTGCATGGTGCCGCTCGTCTTCCCGCCGGCTGCCAGAGAGGCAGCAGCGTGGAGCGCTGCGCAGGGGCGGGCGAGCCCCCCCGTCCACCTCCCCCCTCTTTCCCTTCTTCTCACACATCCTTCTCCTCCTCCTCCTCCTCCTCTTCCTCCTCCTCCTCCTCCTCCACCTGCTCCTCCTCCTCCTCCTCCTTCTCCTCCACCTCATCCTCCTCGTCCTCCTCCTCCTCCTCCTCCTCCTCCTCCTCCTCCGCATCATCATCATCATCATCATCATCATCATCATCATCATCATCATCATCATCATCATCATCATCATCATCATCATCATCATCAGCCTCATCATCAGCATCAACATCATCAACATCAGCAGCAGCATCATCAGCATCATCATCATCACCGTCGTCATCATCATCAGTATCATCATCATCATCAGCAGCATCCTCAGCATCATCAGCATCGTCAGCAGCATAAGCATTAGCATCAGCATCAGCATCATCAATGTGGGCATGATGTATATCCACAGCCACTGCATCCATGAGCTTGGGTCCCCCGTCCTCAAACATCCGAGGCGCAGCAGACATGGATACAAATCTTGCACCCTAGAGGCTAGAATTTGATCCATATTCACTCGCCTGGGCCTTTTGGCGTCCATTCCCGGAAAGTCCAAGACGCTATGGATCTAGATATGAATTTTGCCCACAATCATCATCATCGTCCATCCATCCATCCACCCACCAACCCACCCACCCACCCATCCACCCACCCACTCTGCCACCCACCCACCCATCCACCCACCCATCCATCCATCCACCCACCCACCCATCCACCCATCCACTTCCCTATCCACCTTCGCCTCATTCCCCCCTCCTCGGTCTAGCATCTGCAGACGAAGAACGGGACAAGCCACAGATTCCCGCCATCGGTGACGCTTCTTGCATTCGGCTGGAAAGTTTGTGCGGCGGCAGGTTGGGGTAGAAAGTTTCCTGCCGCCCTAGGACAGGCTTCCCCAATGGCAGTGGGTGGGCCTTGCGTGAAGCAGAATCATCGTTGATGCCGTTCTGCGTCGGCTAGTCTAACATGCCGGCGGCGGCGGCGGCGACAACGACCGCCCGCTGGCAGTTCGGCCCCACTCTGGCCGCGATGCAGAACAGCACTATGTCGACGCTCCAGGCGGCCGGGGAGCAGGCGCCGACGCACCCGCGCCCGCCGCGCCCGCCTCTCCTCTCGGTGGTTCGAAGATGGGGTCCTGCGGGATGGGGTCCTAAGGGTAGGAGAGATCCAAGGGTGGATCTACGTTGTTTGAGGCACCTCGCCCTCGGGACCCCATCCCTGAGGACCCCATCTTTGAGCCACCGATCCTCGCCCCAGCGGCCCTGGCTGCCTCGCCCTGCGCCCCTGTGCTCTGCGCCCTGCTGCCTGCCCTTCCCAGAGCCCTTGGATCCAGGAGCAAAAATCACGCCGGGAGGCTTTTCGCTTAGAGGCCGCTGGGGGCCCTTCCCGGGCGCCGGGACCGTCAAACAGAAACGACTCAGGGGGAGAAGCCGCTCTGGGGAAGATGGGTCAAGACGTTATGGAAAAACCGCGGCGTCGGGGGTCTGGGCTCGAGGGCGAGGCGCGAGCTGGACGGTGCTTGGGCGGCTTCGTGTGCCGCTGTCGCTTGGACCTCGCTTCTGCAGCAGGGGCGGAGCGAGGACATAGCGAGGGGACACGAAAAACGGGGAAACGAGCCCGGAACTCGCTGTTCATCTCGCGCCCTGCTCGAGGGCGAGGGGGGAGGGGAGGGGAGGAGGAGGGAGCGGCCTGGGCCTCGCGCGTTCCCCGCTGCTCGCGCCGCTGCGCGCCGCGCCGGCGTCGGTCACCTAACCGCCCGCGCTCGCGGCGGGCGCCGCGGATGGACGGGGCCGTCTGCGCGGGTACTGGCGTTACGTCGGGCATGACCCCCTACAGGAGGAACGTTACAAAAAATAGTCACAGCATGGTCTGGGGACTGGGGACCTCTTGCTCGACCAGTTCTGATCATTGTTCGCTACGGTTTGGCTATTTCCGATGTTTCTCCCAGAAATCCGCCTGCAGTGGGGCATGCCCGACCCAACACTGGCGCGCACGCTGCGCGCGGAAGGGGTCGCGCGTGAGCGCCGCCGTCTCCGCGCGGCGTGCCCCGCGGGAGGCCACCGCCGAGGCCGCCGCGCAGGGGTCGCGGCGTCCTCGCGCGTGCGGGCCCCCTTGCCTGGGATCACCGCGGGAGGGCGACGGGGGGAAGGGGGCTGCACGAGCGGGTGCCAAGGTTCGGGTATATCGGGCCGGGCGAAAGGGGGGGATTGGGAAAGGGGGGGTTAGGAACTTTGCTGCATGCAGCTGGTTTCGGCCTCACCCCCATTCCTCGATACATAGCCGCCTCCGGCGCCGGGAGGCGCCGGGAAAATCAGCTGCGTGAGCTGATTCTCAAACCCCCCCTTTGCTATCCCCCCCTTTTGCCCGACCCGAGTATAGCCAGGACCCCAGGTCAGGGGGCCCGGTTCGTAGTGGGGCCCTGAAGCCTCCAAGTTGACAGGGATCACCAAAACCAGGTCTGCCGTGGCTGGTGTTTTTTCGGGTGACGGCAGTTCCGGTACGCGGAACGGGGCGGGGGGGGCGTCACCCAGTACACATCACTAAACCAGGTCCCACGAAACCGAGTTCTGTCAACGCCCGAAAGGTGGGCGATACCTGGCCTGGCCCAACTGACAGTGGAGGCCCATGCCGAGAAACACCCTGCCTGCCTCCAGGGTGCCCTGGGCTTCTTGAGCTTCGATGTTTTTGTAATGGAAGGCGTGACGCTCCCGCACCAAAAATCAATGGACGTCCTGGGGTCTCTGGGTTGGGTCTTGTGGTGGGCGATACCTGGCCTTGCCTAACTTATCAGTGGGTTACCCGTGCCCTAGGTGGCTCAGGGGCTGCCGCTCACTCCTCGCCCCAGACCTTTCACCTCCCTGAGCCATTCAGGGAACTTCTAACCCATTTACAAGCCATTTTCGGCATACCTTGGCATCCATTTGTCACCGACGTGGCTCAGGGGATGCCGCTAAATCCGCCAAGTGGGCGGATCCAATTTTGCCCCAGACCTTGTAACCCCCTGAGCCACGCAGGGAACTTCCAGCCCATCTGCAAGCCATGATTGGCATACCTTGGCATCCACTTGTCTCAAGGGAGGAGAAACCTTTGCGGACCGGACACTTGGCGTTTATTAAACGGCCTTGGGCGTTTATTAAACAGCCCTGCCCTGTTTGATTCCTCCTTTGGGTGCGTTTACTAAAATATCAGGGTGGTTATTATCGGGGTGGTTAATATCGGGGTGGATTTTCTGCCCTCTGTTGTCACCCCCCTTATCCCCTCAGCGACCACCGCAATGGTTCGAGCGATGGACGGTCGACTGGCGTGCTGGGTGCCGCGAGGCAGCGAGGAAAAATGGAGGGAGGTGGAGAGTCAGCTGGGGGTCTGAGGTGGCCCAGCGTCAGGATGGGAAAAAACACACCGACGCAACTCATCGTCGATTCCTAGGAAAATCTGGGAACATATAGGAAGTGGGGGGGAAGACGAAGGCCCATAAGGTATGGGAAAACAAATTGAATCCTTGGATTTGTGTATTTTTCTTTGTGTGTCTTTGGGCCCCTTCACAGCACTGGTTTCAACCAGCTGAGAAAGTGGCACGGGGGCTTTGCCGCTTGTCCGGGACGGGATCGCCTGGGGCCTTCTCACCGCCACGGCTGGACGCAGCTCGAGCAAACGGGTGCGTTTGGACCCCCAGAGAGGGTCGGGGACCGATTGTGAGCGGATTTGGCTTCCCCCCCTCTTGACCGACGTGTCGGGGCCCATCCAGCGCTGACCCCACGGCCGCCTCCACAGCGGGAGGAGGGGGGGGGGGGGGAAAGGGCGTGGGCCAGGCAGGCCTCGGATGGGGATTCAAGCGTCCCATAGCGTCCCAGGACTCTCTCAGAGTGCTCCGAGGCGCCTTGAGACGGCCGCGGCACCCGATACATCCTCCAAGCTCCCTTCCCACTTTGCTTCATCTGGATTTATCCTCATCCTGCCTTTGTCTTAGGGGGGATAGCTTCCAACGGGAAACAATTGCATAAACAGACTGTTGGCACTCCGCACGGATTTCTTAGAAGATCCGACGTTGCCACAAAGCCGTCGCATCGCGAAAGAGGTCTCTCGACCGCCAGCCCTGGGCCCCAGCTTCCTGAGCCATTGTTCGAGCTGGATGGATCCGTGATGGTCTCGGGCCCAGAACCCAGACCCCCGACGTCATGATTTTGTTCATGACGCGACCCCGAGAGGCCTGGACCCATTCCCCAGGACCCGTTTTCCATCCTGCGTCGTTTTTTGGCGGTCCCGAGGCCTGGTGAGGGCGGCCAGAGGCCGAAAATTGTGAAACACCTCCCGCCGGGAGATTTGTTTCCCAGCGCGAGGGGGTCTCTGGGAACCTGGCGAAAGCGCCCGGTGCGAGCAGCAAGAGCCACGCCCGGAGCTCAGTGGAGGCCGCCGCCGTGCCACGGACCAGACTGCGCCCGGCGGGGGGCGCGGCCGAGAGCCGCTCGGGGGCGGCGCCCGCATGCGGCCGCGGCGCCATGGCGGTGCCGGTGTTCGCGCTGGGGGACCGCGTGCAGACCCACGGGCTCTCGAGCGCGGCCGGGAAGGCCGCGCGGCGGTGGTGCGGTGGAGTTGGGCATGTCTTTCCACAGGAGGAGTCTTCGAGAACGGCGAGTGACAGATAGTCTGGGGACGATGTGCATGCTCTTGCTGATTGTTTGAGTATGTTTGAATAGTCTGGGAACGATGTTCATGTTCTCCTTGATCGGTTCGAATCTGTTTTGGCTACCTTCTCTGCTCCCTTCAAAAAATCCGCCTGTAGGAGGACATGCCCGACCTAATGGGAAGGGGCAGCTCCTGGTTCGCGCCTCGTGGGCCCAGACTGGAGCTGTCCCGGACCAGAGCTATTCTGGATCACTCGGGCGTTCGACCCTTCCGGGATCATCGGGGCCGGGGGTGGTCAGGGGCATTCCCGCTTCGCGCGTCGGCGGCCCGAACGGGTCTCACCCTGGACCAGAGCGCTCCCAGACAACTCGGGTGCCCAGCCGCTGGCGCGAGGGGCAGGGAGGGCGGCCATACTCATGGGAGGGCGAGTTGGGACGACGGCAGTTGGCCGTCGGGGGGCCCCCCTCGTCGACACAGCTGGGCGCAGCGTGGAAAGTCTGGTGCGCTTGCATCCCTGAGGGCGCCCCCCTTTTGGTGGGTCCCGAGCTTGGACCAGCAGAACTCTAAGTGTAAGTCGGGCATGTCCTTCTACAGGAGGAATCTTCAAGAGTAGGCAGAAAATAGTCAGGGGACGTCTTTTGAGTGTGTTTGGCTCTTTTTGAGTATTTGTTTCACTATTTTTTGTTTTTCGTCCAAAATCCGCCTGTAGGAGAACACGCCCGACCTGACTCTGAGTGTGATACCGGCCACTCGCAAGAGTGGCCCTTCGCCGGAGTGCTCTCCTGTGTGCTGCCTTTGGGGGGCGGGGGGGGGGCTGAGCCTTGATGGCTCAACGATGGGGTCCTGAGGGATGGTTGAAGGACGAGATGTCTCCGACAGTGCAGATCCATTTTTGGATTTCTGATATTCCAACCTACTTTAGCCTTGATCACCAGAAGGAACTTCGAGCACCAGGAAAGTACCGAAATTAGAGGGTTTTCACGTGTCGGGCCCTGGGAGACACTCGTCCGACACTGTTTCGACACTTTTCCCAGTGCTCGAAGTTATTTCTGGGATGTGGTCAGGTACGATGGGAGCAGCATAACTTTGGATCCTCTCCTATCGTCAGGACCCCATCCTTGAGGAGGCCCCCATCTCTGAACCACCGAGAGCCTAGGCGCGCGGCCCGTGAGTGTCGCCTCGCACGGGACGGCGGGCAGCCCGCGCACCGCGGGTCCCTCTTGACGCAGTTCTCTTTCCTCTTGCTTCGCCGATCGGCGCGGGCCCCGCCCCCCCCCCCCGCCCCTGCCCCCCTCGTGCACCAGATCCCTGACGCCCCAGAGCAGGCAGACTGCTGAACACCGGGCTGCGTTCCAAGTTTGGAGGTTCCGAACTTCGAATCCATTGTCCCATGCAAGTTCGCTGTAAGTGAGACCTGAAACAACTTGTCGTTGCAGACTTGCCGTCGACGCGCGTTCGTGTTCGCCGTCTCGACACGACGCAACCGATTCGTAACACGCGAACGGCTTGCTCAGGGGAGCCAAGAACCGACACACCGAGACGAAGCCACCCTTAAACCACGAAAGCAAACCTTCACCTGCCATCCGCAGCGCCCAAACCACCCTTGGCGGTGAAGTGGTCCCCTTATCCGCAGATGTGCCGAACCCACCTCCCAGCCATTTGCAACCAGTACGAACAAAATATGACGCCAGCGAACTCACGAAGTACGAGTTTGAAAACACGAGATCGGATGCTTCTGGCGACTGCTTTTCGCAGCGGCCGCTCAGGACCCTCCTCCCCAGCCTGCTGGCGCGACCGGCGGGGGCAGGTCGACTAAGCACCGGCCCAGGCCCAGGCCTCCCCCCCCCCCTCCTCCTCCTCCTCCTCCTCCTCCTCCTCCTCCTCCTCCTCCTCCTCCTCCTCCTCCTCCTCCTCCTCCTCCTCCTCTCCCTCCTCCCTCCTCCTCCTCCTCCTCCCTCCTCCCTCCTCCCTCCTCCCTCCTCCCTCCTCCCTCCTCCTCCTCCCTCCTCCTCCTCCTCCTCCCTCCTCCTCCTCCTCCTCCTCCTCCTCCTCCTCCTCCTCCTCCTCCTCCTCCCTCCTCCTCCTCCTCTCAGCAGCGATAATCAGGGGGGGATGCGCATCGGGGGGGGGCTGCATCGACCCCCGATCGCCCACTGATCGCCGATAAGGGCCCGATAGCCCCAGCCTGCCCAGGAGGTTGCGGATTCACTCTCGGAGGCCTATCGCCGATCTATGGGCGATGTATCGCCGATTCCAGGTCGATGCATCCCACCCTATGCCAGTCCCCCCCTATCGTTTCCCCCCCTCCCCCACCCTTCGGCCAAACGTCGAGACCCAGGGTATACAGGGTCACTCCTCTGCGTGGAGCCGACGAGGAACGGGGGGCGGTCAGGAGAGCAAGCTGAATCACGCATTTTGTTCGGAGAAGTCGAACTTGTAGCCTAGGTGTGTAGGCCGTACGAGAAGAATAGATCGGCGTTGCACAAGTTTCGTTATGAATTGAGATTTGGTCACCTTGCTTTGGCAGGGCATGATCCCGGCCGTTAGGATTTCTAAAATTGTTTTTGTTGTACGTCGGGATTCTAATATACCCCGTTCAAAATCTAGGGAGGAAAGGGGGGCAGCTTGGCGCGGTCGGGACAGGGGTCAGCTTTTCGCCCGCCCGCTCGCGCAGAAGTAACGGACGAAACCTGCAGCATCTTGACGTTCCCATAAAACGTGCCGAACTTATGTAACGGCGTAGTAGTATGAAGAAGAGGAAGGATAAAGGAGAATATGAGCGCAGTTGGGCAGGCGTTCAACGGCGAGAAGGGGATCATCAAGTCCGCCCGCGATCCACAGACAGGCCGATATCAGGTGAGTTTCCAGACAAAGAAACTGTGGGACTGCAAGGCGTTCAAGCCGGAGAACTTGAGGCTATGCTACGTCCCGGGGGACAAGGTGGTTGCCCATGGCCTCAAGAGCGCGTCCGGTCAGATGCTCAACGGCGCCGACGGAATTGTCGAGTCTCATGACGAGGAGGCGGACCGCTACCAGGTCCTTTTCGAGACCCACGGCTCCAAGGCCCTGAGGTCGCGGGCGGGGACATGTCCACGTGTGTCTTGGCATCCCTCGGACGTGTGCATGCTTTCCTTGGCGAGGACCACCCAGGAGCATCCTGGAGCATCCAGCAGCAACAGAAACACACACGAAATCGAAACATTGACGGGGAATGGACATCCGAGCGATGGCGAGAGAACGCAAGGGCTTGATGGACGTGGGCGGAGGCTGATGTCTCGGCCACCCTGTTTGGGGTGCTGCGGCCTGATTTCTGCGACGGACCGCGCGCGGCTCGGTCGGCCAGACCCGGGGAGGGACAGGCCCGACTTAAGCGTAGGGGCCGCCTGCGCGGACATTGGCGCGCACGCTGCGCGCGCCAGGTCGCGCGTACGAGCCGCCGTCTCCACGCGGCGTGCCCCGCGGGAGGCCCGCGCAGGCCACCGCGTAAGGTCGCTGCGCCCATCGCGCGACGGGCCACCGACTTGGATCACCACGGGGGGCGCTGCGGGGATAGGATACGGGAGTTATAAGCCCCAGACCCCTTCGAGTCATGAAAAATCACGACGGAAGTGTTTCGCCACTTTCCTGCTTCTGGGGGCCCTCACCAGGCCTCGGGACCGTCAAAAACGACGCGGGATGAGAAACCAGTCCTGGCGAACGGGTCCAGAGCTTTGGGGGTCGCGTCATGAAACAAATCATGACGTCGGGGATCTGGGGCGGATGATGGGGTGGGCACTGTTCTGCCGAACCCAGCTTCCGAGTGGGCTACGAGGGCCCTCAGCCGCTTCAAAGGCCTGGATAGCTCCGCCGAGTGGGATGAGCCCACTGAGCCCGGATCCTGCCCCCATTTAGCCCCTTTGGGCTCTTCTAGCCCACGTATACGTTTTGTTTGGCCAGGCGTAAGCCACCGTGGCATCCGCTTAAAGACCTTCATCTCCTCAACAACCACCGCGGTGAAGCAAGAACGACCCGTAGTTGGGCTTCTTATTTCTCTAGGCCTCCCAGATGGGGTCGGAGCAGATGGGGTCGGAGGATCGCGCCGCATCGGCGATGCATCGGCGATGCGGCCGGATGTGGAGCCCGATTTTCTCCACGCCGACGCCGCCGATACATCGCCGACGTCGCCGATGCATCGCCGATGCATTGGCGATGCGGTGCGATCCTCCGACCCCATCTGCTCGGACCCCATCTAAGAGGCATCTCATTTCGGCGATGTGTGTTTTCAATGCGCGGCCCCAGAGGTCCCGACCCTTTCCCTGTGGGGAGTCGATCGTCCTGGGCACATTGTCGATGGCCCTGCGGCCTGATGACGGGCCCCGGAGGCCGAAGTCGAAGAACAGCGCCTGGATTGAATGAAGCATCTCGTCGGAGGTTTGCTTGGATCACCGCGGCGTTTGCTAAGTGGGTAGGGGGTTATATCTGGCCTGGCCTGGCTCAAACGTGGGGCAGAACTTCTGACCCACTTCTGACTCATGAGTGACCTGAGCTGCTTACAAGGGATGGGGATGCAGGCTGAGTGGGCTCCGCCCACCCAGCGGAGGCAGCGAGCCCACCCAGGCCACGTGGGGCACCTGCAGCCAACCTATGGGCCAGGTTTTGGGCCAGGTGCAACACACCCTGGCATTCACTCGATCCCCCCCTGCGCACCTACTTCTCCATCCCCGTAGTGATCCAAGGGAACGACTCCATAGAACGGGCTCGTGTGCGCCGACCTTGGTGCGCGAGCTGCCCCCTCGCAGGGTCCCGCGAACGCGCCCTTGCTTCGACGGCAGCGTGCCGCGCGGGCTGGCCGCGTAAGCCGCCGCGTAAGGTCGCGATGTCATCCTGCGTAGGATCCGTTCCTTTTCGTCGCCAAGTGGGGACGTTCGGGCGGGGCCAGGACGAGGATAAATCCGTGCCAGAGCGTTCCAGAACGCTCTCATAGCGTTCCGGGACGCTCCGAGAAGGCCGCGGCGCCCGAGACATCCTCCAGAGCCGCCGAATCTCAGAGTTCTTCCATGCATCCTCACTCGGATATGCCCTCGTCCTGGATTCGTCTTATGTCGGCGCCACCCCAACATACTAGTGTTTTGTGTTCGTCGCCCCCCCCCCCCCAGGGGCGACGCGCGCACTGAGAAATCTTCTAGCTATATGCGTCGTGGCGGGCGCGTTCTGGCCACACCGCTCCAGAAACGACATACTACAAGATTAGTATTCGTATGTCTCTGCGCGTCCCGTTATGCGTGGACGTGTCCGCCGCACGTGGCGAGGGCCGACAACTTGCGGCTGCGGCAGCTGTCCGGGGGCCCCGGCGCCGCGCGCGGGCTGGCCCCGCGGCCCAAGCCTCGGGCGTTGCCAGGGATGCCCCCCTGGCGCAAGGCGTGGCCCCACAGGGTTGGAGCAGGAGGAGCAGGAGGAGGAGGACGAGGAGGAGGAGGAGGGGGATGGCAGGAGGGTGGGAGGGGGGAGGGAGGGAGGGAGGGAGGACGAGGACGAGGACGAGGACGAGGACGAGGAGGAGGAGGAGGAGGACGAGGACGGGAGGAGGAGAGGGGAGGAGGAGGACGAGGAGGAGGAGGAGGAGGAGGAGGAGGAGGAGGGGGATGGAGGGAGGGAGGGAGGGAGGACGAGGACAAGGACGAGGAGGACGATGACGAGGACGAGGACGAGGACAAGGAGGAGGAGGAGGAGGAGGAGGAGGAATGCCCGAAGAAGAAAAGGCACCATACGCATGGCTTTGCGGGGCTCCACGCGGATGTCTTGAATCGGCGTTGGGGCTCCCTGGCGGTGACCCCAGCGCCGCCCCTCGCGCGTTCCGCGCGCCAGGGAGGATGTTTTTTACTTATTTTTCATCGTGTCATACCTCTGCTTATTTTACGTATTGCTAATTTGATTATTAGTATCATTGTCATTGTAAGTCTTGGTAGTACTGTTACTTTTCGTAGTAGGGTTGCTAATGTCATGCTTACTGTTATCTGCAGTCTTAATAGTTACTAGTAGTGTTATTCTTAATATCATTACGAATTTGAATACAATCAAATTACACATCATGCTTATTATCATCATGACAATGATGCGCATTAGTCGGAGGTGAGGGGGTGAGATCGAAGTGGAACGGCCAGCCCCCCACCGGGAAATCGGTTTCGGTTTCGTGTTCGTGCGTGCCATGCGTGCGAGGCGAAGCTGCGTGGGCGGGCGAGAAAAAGTCTCCTGTGGCTGAGGCGCGGCCGGACCAAATGTCTCCCTTCCGGGCGGCCGGGGCCCCGCGGTGTCCCGCCGGTGTCCCGCTGGTGTCCCGTGTGGCTGAGGCGCGGCCGGACCAAATGATTCCCTTCCGGGCGGCCGGGGCCCCGCGGTGTGTCCCGCCGGTGTCCCGCGGTGTCCCGCGGTGTCCCGTGTGATGCGATGATGATGATGATGATGATGATGATGATGATGATGATGATGATGATGATGATGATATGATGATATGATGATATGATGATATGATGATGATGATGATGATGATGCTGATGCTGATGCTGATGCTGATGCTGATGATGATGATGATGATGATGATGATGAGATGGTGTCCCGATGATGATGATGATGATGATGATGATGATGATGATGATGATGCTGATGATGATGATGTTGGTGATGATGATGTTGATGTAAATGGTGTCCCGGCGATGATGATGTTGATGATGATGATATTGATGATTATGGTGTCCCGATGATGATGATGATGATGATGATGCTGATGATGGTGATGATGATGATGGTGATGCTGATGGTGTCCCGATGGTGATTATAATGGTAATGGCGATGTTGATGATGATGTTGCTCATGGTGATGATGGTGCCCCAATGATGATGATGATCATGATGATGGTGTTCCGAGGATGATGACGATGTTGATGGTAATGTTGATGATGAGAACGATGGCGATCATGATGGTGCCCCGATTATGATGATGATTCCGATGATGCTGATGATGATGACGATGACTGTGTCTCGATGATTATGATGATGATGTTGATGATGAGATGATGATGGTGATGATGATGATGATGCTGATGATGATGATGATGATGTTGTCCCGATGATGATACTGACGTTGATGGTGATGTTTATGATGATGATGATGATGACGGTGCCCTCATGATGATGACGATGCTGGTGTTGATGATGTTGATGATGATGATGATGATGACGTTGATTGTCAGAGCGATTGTGATATCGATGGTGAGATCGATATAAAGACCGAATGTGAGATCGATTGTGTGATCGATTGTGAGATCGAATGTGATATCAATTGTGAGATCGATCGAATGAGATAGATCGAGTGATATCGATTGTGAGATCGATCGAGGGAGATCGATCGATCGAGACCGATAGTGAGATCGATACTGAGATCGATAGTGAGACCGATCGAGTGAGACCTTGGTTCCCCCCGAACCTCCTTATCACCCGAAGGGTGGTCGTATAGGTAGTAGTATTATCAACAACAGTATGATTAGGCGTATTCATCTTATGGTTCTTCTTAGCCGCATGATTGATGGGGCTCCGTGCCTCCAGATCCCGACTGCGTGTTGGCGCGCCCGAATAATTGCGCGAAGAGCTGGGGACAATTGAGAGCGTGGTTACAAGTGAATGCTACGGTGGGGCTACATCAAGTGTAAAGTCACTCAGAAGTGGGCTACAGGTGGGGGGTCCGATAATTCCGCCCAGTGGGCGGAGCCCACTTAGGCCAGATCTTCACCCCCTCGTAGTCTACGCCACCTCGAGCACGTGTAACCCCACGTATAAGCTAGGCCAGGCCAGCTATGACCCATCTCAGCACCCACTTGTGACCCCCGCGGTGAGGTCGTCTCCAAAGCAGGAGGAGGAGGTAGGAGGAGGAGGAGGAGCAGGAGGAGGAGGAGAAGCAGGAGCAGGAGCAGGAGCAGCGACACAACAAGCTCTTTCATCCTGTCTGGTCAACGTCAAAAGGAGGAAGAGGAGAAGGAGAAGGAGGAGGAGGAGGAGGAGCAGGAGCAGGAGGAGGAGAAGGAGGAGGGATGAGGAGGAGGGAGGAGGGAGGAGGGAGGAGGGAGAGCAGGAGGACGAGGAAATCCCTGCACCCCCCGCGCTGAGCCCAGCTGATCCCAGCACCCCCTATAAGTCAAAGCCGACTTGACCACGTGTAACATCACGTATACGCCAGGCCGGGCCAGCTATGATCCATCTCAGCACCCAGCCGTTGTGAAAACAAGGCGCTGCCAGGGTTTCAGGGGCAGCGTCTCTCTCTCTCGAGCTTGCAAGCCTTCCAGGCATCCTTTCCAGACCCCCGACGCCATCATTCTTCCTAACGCGACCTCCAGAGGTTTGGACCCATTCCCAGGGGCCGGTTTTCCGTCCCGAGTCTTTTTGTTGACGGCCCCGGGGTCCCGTCAGGGCACCCGCGGAGGCCGACAGGAGTTTTGTCATGGCTCGAGGGGGCCCGGGCCCCGCGGCGATCCCAGCTCGGCCAGGACCACTCCCGGCAACGCCCGAGAAGCCCTGCTCACCCGCCGGCCCGCCCGCCGCGGCCGCCTGGGCGGGGGGGGCGGCGCCGTCCACCATCGCGGAGGCCTGCGAGGCGGCGGCCCGCGGCGCGACGTCGGGCGAGACGGTGCAGGAGCTCTCCGTGAGGCAGACCCCTTCGGGCCAGGAAAAGGTCCCGACGGGAGGTCTTTTGTCATTTTTTGCCTCTGGGGGCCCTCACCAGGCCTCGGGGCCGTGAGAAAACAACTCAGGATGAAAAAACCGGTCCCGCGGAATTGGTCCGGACGTTTGGGGTTTCGCGTTATGGACAATCATGGCGTCGGGGGTCTGGGTAGAGTTAAGTCGGGCAGATGTCTTCCTACAGGAGGAATGTCCAAGAACAGGGGAAATAAAAGTCTGGTGACGACTTGTCGTGCTCCTCTGACTCGTTTTGCTTCTTCTTCGGACTGCCTGTTAGTTGATTTCCAGAGTCCGCCCCGCAGGAGGCCATGCCCGACCCAAGGGTACAGTCAAGACGCTGAAAAAGAAGGAGCAGTCTGGCTTCGCCAGGGGCTCGACGCTCCTCGGGTTCCTCCGGTGCTGCTCCTCCTTGCCCTCCTGGGGCACGGAGGCCGGCGATTGTCGAATGAATTATTTGGTAAATTGGTTCAGTCTTCGTCGCCCGCCCTTCGCCGTGTGAATGGCGCTTGGGTGATTCGTGCTGACGAGAAGGCTGACTTTTTGCGTCGTCGTTTAAGGATCGCTGGCATGTCCCGACGCTGCAGGACAACAATTTTTTCTGCACGGGGCCCGAGGGGGGGCTCCGCTCCTCCTGTGGCGTTCCTGCCCTCCGCGGCCCGACCGCGGAGGGCACTGGGGCCCCCTGCCGAGGCCGCCGAGGGCCTCCAGAGGCAGGCCTCTCCGGGAGCGCGGGGAGAGCGCCCGCCGCCGCCTCGGGAGGCCGCCCCCCTTCGCGCCTACCCTTGGGTCGGGCCTGTCCCCCCCCCTACAGGGGGATTTTTTCGGCGAAAAATGAAGAGTACTCCAAACAGAATCAAAGAGTAGTCCAAACATACTCTGGGGACGGTTTTTCTGGTATTGTTTTACCTTTTTGGTGTATATGTTTCGGGTATTTTTTATTTTTCGTCGAACATCCTTCTGTAGGGGGACACGCCCGACATGAGCCTGCCCAGGTGCCCAGGCGCCCTCAAGCAGTGACAGAAACCACGACGGCTGTGCTGCTCCAGCCTGCTTTAGCCTTGATCACCGATCACCAAAAAGACTGTCGAGCACCAGAAAAGTACCCCCAAACCCGAGGGTTCTCATGTGTCGGACCCTGGGAGACACTCGTCCGACACTGTTCCGACACTCTTTCGACACTCTTTCGACACTATTCCGGGTGCTCGACATTATTTCTGGGATGTGGTCCTTAAGTACGATGGTAGCAACATTACACGACGGGAGGCTCTTCGCTATTTTCGGCCTCCGGGGGGCCCTCGCATGGCATCGGGGCCGTCGAGAAACGACCCAGGATGAAAAACCGGTCCTGGGGAATGGGTCTGGAATTCTGAGGGTCGCGTCAAGGAACAACATGGCGTCGGGGGTCTGGGAGGAGGGCAAGGTCCCCAGTACGGGTGCCGCCGCCCAAGCGAGGAAGAACAAGCTTCATAGACATGCAGTGGAGGCCCATGCCAAGAGACGCCCTGCTCGCCTCCAGGGTGCCCTGGGCTTCTTGGGTTTCGATGGTTTTGCCATGGAGAGCGCGATGCTCCCACACCAAAAATCAATGGACGTCCTGGGGTCTCAGGGGGGGGGTTCTTGTGGAAGGCTTCTCGTGGTCGAGCTCCCACTGTATGACCTGTCGGAGCTCCGCGGAGATTTCTCGGGTCGGCGCTGGGACCCCCCCGGCGCCGCCTCTGGCGCCGCCCGTGGCGCGCCCCGCGCGCCAGGGAGGGGGTCCAGCACCGACCCCGGCACTCCGCGCGGACCTCCGAAAGCTTGTGCTTGCGCCGCTTTGGGTTTCGCCTTCCCACCCCAGCTTTAGTCGGGCCTGTCCCCCTACAGAGGGATCTTCGACGGAAAAAAAAATACCAAGAATCATCAAAAAATAATACAAAAATAGTCTGGGGACTATTTTTTGTATTTTTTTGTTGCCTTTGGGGGCATTTTGGGGGTATTTTTTATCTTTCGTCGAAAATCCCCCTGTAGGGGGACACGCCCGACACAACCCCAGCTCTGTGTTCGCCCTTCCGGGCCTCCCGGGAGGCCCGCGCCGCCACGGCGGTACGGGTCCGCCTCGAAGTCCCGGCCGGAGGGCGCCCTTGGGAGGGGTCCCGGGAGCGCAGTCGAAGCCGATGGTGAGGACGGGTCGCCTTCCAGAGGTTACCCTTTGCATCCCTGCCTCCTCCGGGGGGCACACGCGAGCCCTACCCCTAGCCCCGCACGATTTCTGAGGGGGAGGGTGGGGTTCACATGTGGCCCCCTATCCTCGGTCCGTCCCCAGCCCCTTTCGACGGCCAGCCCCGGTCGAAACAGCTTCCACACGGGCTTCCAAGGGGGCTCGCACCCCCTATCGCGCATGCTTCCCATCGGTTCTGGCAGTAGCGGTGTCGGTATCCGATGGTGCCCCGAGGACACGGACATCAGGGTGCTGGACCCGAACGAGGCTGCGGCGGCGGCGGCGGCGAGGGCGGCGGCGTCACGCAGAGGAGGCAGAGACACACCGAGGCCACGGCCTGTCCCTCGTCGCCACGGCTGGATTCGCCTCGACGTCCCGACCCCATCCAGGAGGCCTCGGGCTGCCCATCGAGGAGGCCTCTAGCTACCCAAGCCTCGTGCTCGCCTCTGTTGGACCTCCTGGGTGGCCCTCGCCGCCACGAGCGGCTGGAGTCGCCTCGACGTCTCGAGCAGAACGCGCCCAGCAGAGGCCCCGGGCGAGGAGCGGTGCGGCTTTTTTTTATTCCCCCCGCGGACGGCGACCGCACGCGACGACGACGACGAGGATGGCGACGACGGCGGCGGCGGCGGACGACGGCGGCCTCCACATCGGCGGCGCTGGCGGCGAAAAGCGGAGCCAGCGCAGGTCCCAGTCGAGCCGGAGATCTACACCTCGTTCGACCAGTGCGTGCAGTTCCCAGGGCCGGTCGTCGCCGAGCTCAGGAAGGCGGGGTTCCCCGGACCGTCGCAGATTCAGGGTTACGCGTGGCCGCTGGCCCTGCAGGGCAAGGACGTGATCGGTATTGCGGCGACGGGCAGCGGCAAGACTCTGGCGTTCCTGCTTCCCTCCTTCTGCGTGTTCTTCGAGAGCGGCCACCAGCCCCTGCAGGACGGCGTGGGGCTGCTCGTGATGTCTCCGACACGCGAGCTTGCGCAGCAGATCGAGGTAGAGGCAAACCGGTTCGGAAAGTGCATAGGCATATCTGTGGTCTCGATGTACGGCGGGGCACCAAAGTGGGAGCAGGTCCAGGCGTACAAGAGGGGCGTCCATGCGATCATCGCATGCCCCGGCCGTCTCAATGATTGCTTGGAGGGTGGGCAGGTGAGCGTTGATCGAGTTGCGCTGTCGCGCGTATTCGCCATCACGAACAGGGAAGGGCGCACATCAGCGATGTGGCGTGGCACCAGGGTGGCCCTGCGTGCTTCTGCCGGTGTTTCTTGCGGGCTAGTTTGTGAAGCTCTCCTGATCCTCTGTGGGACCGGTGGATGGTTCCTGCAACCGTCTTTCTTGGGGCCATCTTGTGAGACGGGTCCACAGGGAGGGGAGGGAAGGAGAAGGAGTATGGAGGACGAGAGCGAGAAGGGGAGGAGAAAGGGGCAAGGAGGAGCAGGAGCAGGAGAAGGAGGAGGAGGAGGAGGAGGAGGAGGAGGGAGGATAAGAAGCATGAGCGAGGAGGAGGAGGCGGGAGGAGGACGAGCAGGAGGATGGAGGAGGAGGAGGAGGAGGTAGGATGGAGGGAGAGGCACAATGAGGAGGAGGAGGAGGAGGAGGACGAGGACGAGGAGGAGGAGGAGGACGAGGAGGAGTTAGAGGAGGAGCAGGATTGAGGAGGCATGAGGGAGAGGCGGGAGTGAGGGAGGAGGAGGAGGAAGAGCAGCGAGCAGGAGGCTGGAGGAGGATGAGGGAAGGAGGAGGAGGGAGGGATGGAGGAGCATGAGCATGAGCATGACCATATGACAAAGTCAACCAATACCACATGAGCTTAAATGCACCTTAAATTACGCCCCTGGGACGTCGGGATGCTTGCTCTGCACGGCTGAGGACCTTCGGCCACAGCCCTCGAGAGATTCGGTCTAAATATTCAATCCCAGACGAGGTTAGCTTACGGAGGCAGGGCTGACCAAGCTTGAGAATTTGATTAGCACCGAAGCCAGCACAATCACGGCAATACCATAACTTTAATGGGCCATGAAATTGCATATTATGGGATTCATGAACGCACCCCCCCGCTATGTGGAGGGGGGCCTGGGGAGGCTTAAACCAACGCACCCCGTTATAATGGATAGGCTGAAAACACTGAGTTAACCTCCATTCAACAGTGGTGGCTCTGGAGGCTGACCCTCCACATCTCGTGCAACCCCGCCCCGTGTCATCCAGACAGTGGGAGGAGGAGAAGAGGGAGCACGAAGCAGCAGAAGGAGGGACGACGACGGGGGAGGACGATGGTTTCTCCCGCGGAGCCTTGCCCTCCGCGTTCATCGCATCCAGCGTCGACCTCAGGATCCTCATTCTGACCAGCCGCGCACGTCTCTCGTGCATCAGCACTCGGTGTCGGACGGGGACGGGCAGCCTGGCCTCCGTAGCCGCCCATCCCGCCACCTCATCAACCACACTATTGCCCGTGATCATCCACCTCGGCGCTCGCTGCAGCACCACGTCTCGTCCCGTCAGGTGGGAGTTGACGAAGAAGACGCTGATGCTGCGCTCAGGTGCGGCGGCCAAGAGCTGGCCAAGACGGGCCCACAAATCACCATCGGGCCCTGATGGGGCCAGAAACTTCTGCTCGAACCAGCCCTGCACGACCGACTCACAGTCAGACACGAAGATGATCGCACCGACTGTGCACCACACTGCCAGGAGGAGGGCACGGAGTTCTCCCCGAGCGACCACCTGGCGAGGCCCAGCGAGGGGGCCCCTCACGGTGGTCTGCAGCTCCACCGACGGCTCCAGCTGGGTGAAGACCGCAATGCCCAAGCCCACTCTGCGGAAGGCCGAGCTGCTGGTGTCGGCGCCGCCGCTGGCATCGCCAAACACCAGCAGCAGCTCCTCCACGGTGCCGCCGCCCAGGAAGCCCTCGGCCACGTCGTTGTTGGTCGTCGTCGTCCAGCACTCCTCGGACGGGGGAGGTGGTACCTCCGTCCAAGGCTGAGGCATCAGGCCTCGTAGCCAAAACGCCTCGTCGGCGTCAGATTGAACCAGCGCCTGCGAAACCAACTCCTCGGACTCGGTATATGCAGAACTACCCGTGTTGCATTCACATTCCCAGACTCTGTGCTTCAACGTCTCGGCGTTCTTGCCACAACGTCCACACAGCTCAGGACCACGATACTTGGGCATCTCCGCTTTGCGCCTGGCTCTGGGCCAGACACCACCGACTGCACACGAAACCATGACTTCCCCCAGTCGGTGCCCGATCACTGGGACTGCCGAGAGCTGATCGATAAGAAGGCGATAAGAACGACAGTCAACTCCCCGTTCGAGGCCCCCTCCAGCATAGTGACGGCTCGCTCCCACCCACAGGCGAGTCCGAAGCGTATCAGCGAAATCTGCCAAAAAGCCATCGTGCCTGTCGAGCGCGTCGATGCCGCTGTACATGCTGTCGTCGAAGCGCCACTGGTCACCCTCGAACGGGTGAGGCGATGGGATGGTCCACCCCGTTGCCTCTTGTACTCCCCATCCTGCTTCTAGCAGGTGCAGGACCACGGCCGACAAAGGGCCGCGATCATGACGAGAACGCTGCTCTGGAGGTAGGTGCATCATGTGCTGGGACACTGAAGTCCAAGCCTGCTGGATGCCCTTCCTCATGTCAGGATGCTCGCGCCACGACCGCAACCAGAGATCTAAACATTCCACAGGTAGTTTGATGTCAGGGTCGTGATCACCTGCACGCAGCGCCAAGAGGGTGGTGAGGCACCTTCCTTTTGTCGCCGCAGCGCAGGACATGCCAAGCTTCCGCCTGGCTTGGGTCATGCGCGCGCCAAACGTACCAAAAATCTGATGGCCGTAAACACCTGCTGCCTGTAAACCTTGTTGTTTTTTTTTTCCAACCGTCGCGTGATGGAATACTTCTTTGACGTAAAAGCAAAACGTCGGATCTTAGCACTCATACCCTTGCTTTTCCTGTCACGTTTAGCCCGCGTCTGTCGTGCCAACCGTGCGCCACAAGAGAGATCCACACCAAGATATCCAGCCTGCAACTTAGGAAGTACTGTATAACCTGCACGTCGCACTGCCCGTGAAATCCACTCGGCATCGTGCAGCTTGGTGCAGACGATGACTGACTTGGGCGAGACGGTCAACTTCTGCGCCTTCAGTGCCCTGCAGGTGGCAATCAAACATGCTGCCATCTTGATGCGAAGATATTTTCTCGAGCCTCTCATAAACTGCGATAAATCGTCGATCCAAATACGATGGCTAAGCCTCGGGTGGGCCACCGTGATCTTGGAGAGGACATGGTGCGTCAGGCATCGCCCGAAGCGAGTCCCAGAGCGGAGACCCTGGACTATGCTCCGAGTAGGTTGGAATGGCTGAGAGAAGGCTCCCAGCTGTCCCAACGCGCGCATGGCGACGCACATCAGCAGCTCCAACTGAAGAACTCGAGTTGGGAAGGACAGATTGAGAGCACCAACGTGCGAGACCTGTCCACTCTATGGAATCGTAGAACGACTGGATGTCCATCAATCCCTCTGCACAAGGTATCTTCAACTGATGCGATACTTCCTCTTGTACCGCGCGTGCGAAGGCTTCTCTCAAACAAGAATTGCCACGTATAGCCGCATCCCAGTGCTGCTCGGTGGAAGTGGACCATGTACGTACAAGAGGTTCTCGTATCATGCTCCGTACTCGCCCAAGCATTGCCACTAATCCGATTATTCGATCTCCCGAAACCTTTTTCGGCAACATCCGCCCGATAATAAGTGAAACTTGTCCTGGCCAACACCCGTATTGTTCACAAGCTTCGAAAAGGATTGCCAATTCTGCCAACGCCGAATCAGGTAATCTTTCGAAGTCCGCGGGGGTCATCATATCAACTCCAAGGCCAGCCCTGGCCTTCATCTGTCGAAGCGCACGTCGGATCTCAGAGACCGAAATCATGGGCAAAACCTCGTCCACCGCCACTTGGTGAACATAATGAAATGCATTCAGAACTTCTTCTTCATTCAAGACCGACGGCGACCAGAGAGAGTGCCAATGCTTCGACTTCGCGTCGATGATATCCTTGGGATGGTATAACACTTGGTCGCCATGTTCATAGTCAAGCCCTGGAAGTGCCTGCCCGTGAAGAGACTTATGCAAGGTACCTAAGGACTCCGACTGCACGAAGAACTCCTTGAACTCCGCAATCGAACCACTGACTGCCCGTCTCTGTGCACGGTTCATGACACGACGTGAGATATTCTCATAATTCTGCAAAATTGGAAGAGAGCGGGTGCCAGCTGTCCTGATGATCGTGATCCACTCGTCCCACGGCGGGTCCTTGGCGGCGATCAGAACCTTGGCCACCCCTTCTGGCCTATCATCGAGATGCCGATGACAGGTTTGAAGATTGCGTTCCAGCTGCTTGGCTCCATTCCCTCTGGAGCGATGAAGTGCGATGGCATTTAAGAGAGTGTGGAGTTGGGCCCACCAAGCGCTCACTCGGTCACGGAGCGGAGTGGCCCTGCTTGTCCCAGGCATCTTGACTGTCTGCACTGTGAATCTGGCCCCTTGAGCTCGAGCTGGCCCAGGAGGGACAGGCGCATTATGATGAGCAGACATACAGCGTTCAACAGACGACACCCATGATGCATATAACCCAGATATCACTGCCAGGTGTGCTGGCTTGAGCCGAAAGGCTACGGACTGATGGAAAGCAGGAGCAAGGGACTCGAGCGAGAAACCACCAGGCGTGAAACCCACAGCTCTTCGACATTCATCCCACAACCCAGGAGGTATGGCAAAGGACGGCTCCTGGTTAGTGGGGGAGGCTCCACCGTGCAACACACCCTGACTAGAGGTTTCCTGGGAATCCAAGGCTGGTGGCTCAGACGGAGACGCGGGATGGCCAATCGTGTCCGAAGGTCCTTCGGGCATACTGGCAAGGTCGGGACCCGCCCCTTGCGAAGCAACACTAGGACCACCGCGCCCCAAGCCCCCAGCCACAGTGGGATCCCCAGGAGAAACCGACGAATTCGAAAAGGCTTGGCACACCGACAAATCCGAGCAAAAGTTGAGCTCCTGAGCCCAGGGGTCTTCCTCGTCGGGCCATTCATCAAACTCGATTTCTAAACTAACAGTTCCTGGCACCCTATCCCCCGCGGGCGGAGAGGCGTTTTCCCCTTCCTCATCCTCGGCGGGGGTCGCACGCTGGGATTGCTCACAACAATCACTGAACAGGTTATTGAATTTATCAGCTCGGGAGGCTACGGCTAACTGATGCTGCACACTCCTCTTAGCTTTGGCAACGCTGGATTTGGAGCCAGGAGTAGGCTCCACCCTGGGCCTGGGAACCTGAGGGAGTTTCCCATGCAGTTCTAAAACACGAGTGAGCAGTTGCTCTCCAGAGCTCCGAAAAACTAAATCCAACCCGATGTGGGGTTCCCATGGGACCTGCAAGACTGGATTCACGCTGACTATGAACGGTCGTGCGGCTTTACTACAGAGAACGTAGTCAATGTGAGTGCCCGATCCAAGGTTACATGTTGCTGAATATCGGCCGAAACAATCACTGCTGACAAACGTTCAACTATGCCTGAGCGCGAGAGGGCGGCTGGGCTCATATTGAAGTCGCCCACGACCACCCAGGGCAACTGCAGCGCCCACAGCAACCCCAGCAGGCGGTTGAACCTGCCGAGGCTCGCGCCGTGCAGCCCCACGTTGCTGTGCCCGTAGAAGACCACGATCACCAGCGAGAAGCCGACGAAGTGGACAACCTGCGCCATGAAGCCGTCGTACGAGTTCCCGTGACCAGGAGCAGCCAGCTTGCCCCGTGCTGCATGAGCTGCTCCCAACCTGTGTGTCTGCAAATGTCCTTGTGAAAGAAGCCACTCACCTCCCTCATTGGCGTGCTCGGTCTGCTGGGCTGCAACTCGCCGCGAGGTGGGGCGAGCAGCGTTGGCGAAAAGCCGAAGCCCTGCACCTCTAGCTTTACTGTCGTAAGACCGCAACACTGACTCGGAGTGGACGTGAGTCTCGGCGATCGCGAAAAAGTCGTAAGTCTTGGTCTGCGAGGTGATCCACGACCAAGACTTCTCCCCCATGCAAGTGATATTGGAATAAAAGAGTCGCGTCGTAGCACTCTCCCCTGCAGGCGCCGCCGCAGCGGCACTCGGTGAGGCAGCACAGGTGGGGTCCGCCCCTTGCGTATCCTCCTGCGCTGCCGTGGCTAGTCAAGCCGCGACGGCAGGGTCCTTGCCCTTGCCTTTGGTGGCTGCCGCCTGCGCCGCCGCCTCCAGCTTCGCCGCCGACAGCCGCTGCGCCTCAGCCGCTATCTTGGCCTCCTCCTGAGCGTTCGCGGCGTCCTGGGCCGCCTTGGCTGCCTGGGCCGCCGCGGGGTCGGCGCCCTCAGCGCCGGCGGCCGCCGTCGGGGGCTTGGCCTCACCGCCGCCGCCTTCGGCCGCTCCACCGTCGGCTCCTCGTCGCTTCTTGGCCGTGCGCTTCTCCACGTCACTGCGAAGCTGCTGCAACTGGTCGAGCCACTTGCGCACCTCCGCCTCCTTTGTCTCCATGGCTCCTGCTGCCTGCTCGAGGTCGGTCTTGATCGTACGAAGAGCTTCCTTCTCGGCAGGCTCGCAGTCGAGGGACTCGATGTTCGCGAAGAACTCCTTGTCCCAGGTGCACTGGAATATCGGCTTCGGAGCCGTACTATCCTGGGCCCCCTCGGAGGTCTCACCCTGGCCCTTCACGCCCTCGGCGTGGGCTAGGGCCTGGGTGGCAGCGCGCCGCGCAGCCTGCGCGCGCGCAACCTCCTGGGCTGCCATGCTCTCCTTCTTTTCTGCCAGCGCCAACTGCGTCCGCAGCCTGACCACATTCGCCGCCAGCTGCCCATGGCGGTGGTCGGCATCGCGGAACGCACTGTCGGCGCGCCGCAGGGCCTCCACGGGGGTGACTGTACCCTCGTCTCCTGCGGCGTCCTTTTCCAACTGTTGAATCTGCTTCTGAAGACTGTCCTTCAACTGGGCATCGTCGCTGGCCTGCAACGCGAGCTGGAGGTGCTCAGTCACTGCTGCCATGCCACGCATGTTGCCCTTGCTGCCTGTCGAAGGTGAAGCCGAACGAAGGATACCCTTGGGCTGCAGCAAGTTGCCCGAGCCATCGTTCACGAAGCTCACCTTCTTCTTACCCTTGTCACGAGAAGCACTCCTCTTCGGCTGATATGGAACCACCTTCTCGCCGCAGTGCGCACACATGTTGTCGCTCCGCCGCAGCACGTCGTTGCACTCGCAGCGTAGGCAGCCTGCGCACCGCGTCCAAGCCCTGGATGCCGTAGCCATTGCTGAAATCCTCTGTTTTCGTCGGCGCTCAAACAATCCTGCTGAGGTGTTCGGGCGCGGTCCCCCAAGTGCCGCGTGAAGGCACAGAGGCACCTGAACTCTCTGCCAAAATGGTCGGGGCCCAGATGTTACTTGAGAGGGAGGGATGGAGGAGGAGGAGGAGGAGGAGGTGGAGGAGGAGGAGGACATAGAAAAGGTAGGATGGAGGGAGAGGCACAATGAGGAGGAGGACGAGGAGGAGTAGGATTGAGGAGGGACGAGTGAGAGGCAGGAGTGAGGGAGGAGGAGGAGGAGCAGCGAACAGGAGGCTGGAGGAGGATTAAGGAGGGAGGAGGGAGGGAGCAGAGGGAGAAGTATGGGGGAGGAGCTGGGAGCGGAGCTGAGAGCGAATAAAGGGGGGGACGACCCATCGTCCGCGTCACAGCGCGGGATCGGATTGGGTCAAGATGCTGGTGCTGGATGAGGCCGACAGGATGCTGGACATGGGCTTTGAGCCGCAGATCAAGACTATCCAGCTGCCTTCGGCCCATCCTGACACGGTGCCAAGGCTATGGTCAAGATCTGTATGTTTCCCTGTGGTGGGCCCCTGAGTCAGAAAGACAGTTATGGGGATGGAAGGATGGGGTTGGGAGAAAGGGTCACATCAGTGTTATCGCGCATGCTGAAGGTGTTTATCACACAAACATTCGCACTGCCATTGGCGGTCGCATCCTCCACCCCCACCTGGAGCTTGAAGTGCTTCCCATTGTGCTGGTACGTCTGCTTGAACTCAATTGGGCTCTTCGCGTACTTTTCATTGAAAGCGGCGTTCCCACTCATCGCCCTCACGCGTCTCCCGTCAATCGTCAGCAGTTCTTCTTGAAGATCTCTGCTATGCGCGTCACGGGCTGGGCCAGCATAGTCAGGAATCACCTATGCGGTCCGATCGGCAGCGATGCTGCGACGCCTGTGCTGACGACGCATGCAGAAGGCGTGTCGCAAACCACGAAGATCAGCAGCGGACCAAGGCAGTGATGATTCTGTACCAAGAACGGAACGCAACACGGATTCCAGTCTTATTCCCGCATCATGAGCCGAACGCAATACGGAATGAGCCGTGGCCCCGCAACTTCCAAAAACTTGCATGAGCACGAGGAGCAGTTCACGAGCGAATTCCGCGCCAGCAACAGATCCCAATGCGGAACTTGATGCGGAAGTCATTATTTATTGGGCATTTGCAGGACACTCACGGCGTTGCTCATGTTTTTGGTCCATCCCCGGTGCTCGTCGTCGTCGCGTCGCTTCAACACTGGACACGGTCCAATGTTGTCCTGAGAGGGCCCAGAACACATACAACAGGGGCTCTTGGACGGTCACCCGGATGCCGCGACGGGTTCCAGGAGGACCCCGATAGGGCCACGAAGGAGGCAGCAGGGTTCAATCTGCCTCTGGGGAAGTTCTGACGGGTCCCAGATGTCCCAAGAGGGCCACGAAAGTAGGCTGCAGGTTGCAATCCGCCTCGCAGGGAGCCTGCGCGGTGTTGGATTGGCGGCTCTCGCGCTGCGGCGGCAGCTCGTTCGCTCGTCGCCAGACGCAGGCGGCCGAATGCATCGTTCATTGCATTGGAAAGCTATTGCTCGTACCCTGTATCATTCCAGCCCCTTCCTCCGAACACCACAATTGCCTTTCTCACTCAGGGGCGTTCTTGGAAGCCTCGTGAGGGCCTCTTGGAGGTCTCTTAGGCCCAGTGGGGTGATCTTCGGGGCCCTCTCGGGACCTCTCAGCGGTTTCGGGGAGAGAAAGGACCGAAATGCCAATCCGATTTCTTCTTTTTGGGCCACCCTCAGTGTCGTATCGAGAGTCTCTTGGGGCCCTCTTAGTGGGCCTCGGGGCCCGTCTTGGTTCGATAGTTGGATCCTCTCGGGCCGTGTCGGGCGCCCTCAAGATCGAGAAAACATATGGCCCCTGCCCTCCAGAATGGCCCAAGGTAGATGCGCCCCAAAGGTTTTCAGGTCGGGCCCTGAGACGACCTTACGCCACCCTCGAAGCATGAATCCTGACTACGCTCACGTCGCTTTCGAAATTGCTACGCGGACCGCATCGAGAGAGCACGTGAGCGCCCGGGAGCACCTACAAAACAGTATTTCAAGCAGCAAGTTCGAAGTGGCGTGAGGACACTTCGCCGAGTGCGAAGAAACAGTGGGTTTGCCGAATGCCGTCCTCGGGTTTGGGGACTATCAACAATGAAAAGCGGGCCTCGGGAACGGGTCCAGACTTCCGCGGGGGAGCACGGTGAAAGTCACAACAGGTCGGGGGCCTCGGACCGTGACGTGGTCGTTGGCACGAGGCCGAAGAGGCCCCCATAGAATTCAAAAACGTCCAAGAGGCATTTTGTGAGCTGCTTTGGGATCTCTTCGGGACCACGTGCCGCATGAGGTCACTCCATTCAGTGTCTACTGCACTGTGTCGGATTATAGCCCGACTGCCTGCTGCGAGGCATACAATGTTCTTTACAGCGACCTGGCCAAGGGAAGTGCGCCAGCTTGCCAGCACGATGTTGCGGAACCCGTACAGGGTCATGATAGGAAACCGCGAGAACCTTAAAGCTAATCAGGATGTCGTTCAGGAAGTGCGGATCGTAGAGGGGCGCGGCAAGGAGCAAGCGCTTCAGGAGTTGTTGAGCGAAGCAGGGCTGACGCAGCCAGGTGCGATAGGCAAGTGCTTGGTGTTCGTAGGGACGAAAAGGATGTGCGAGGAAATCTCGGTCAACCTGTGCCGTGCTGGCGTACAGTGTGCATCTATTCACGGCGACAAGGACCAGTTTCAGCGCGATCAGGCACTGGCGAACCTGAAGAGCGGGTATTACAGAGTGTTGGCCGCCACGGACGTTGCAGCCCGCGGCCTTGACATCAAAGGTATCGGTCTGGTGATCAATTACGACATTCCCAACAATACAGAAGACTACGTGCACCGCATTGGACGAACTGGCCGTGCTGGTGCCAAGGGTTACGCCGTCACTTTTGTCACACGAAACGATGGAGGCAAGATATCGGGAATTATCAAGATCATGGAGGGTGCGAACCAAGACATCCCTCCAGAGATTCGCGCCCTGTCAAGGGGCGGCGGCGGAGGTGGGGGCAACCGCGGCGGTGGCGGTGGCGGGGGATGGGGAGGCGGCGGCGGATCTTGCGTTTGGTGCGCCAAGGGAGAATGTTGGACTCATGGTGGAAAGGGCAAAGGCCGCAGCCGTAGTCCAAAAGGTCACGGATAATAGAGTCCAGCGTTTCGAGTAGGGCATCGGCGAGCTTGAGCACATTTCATCCATGATTGGATGTATGGCTTGCTGTTATCCAGCGGACGACCATCTGGTCTATTCGAGCATGATTTGTCGCGTGCCCCTGTTGTCTGCGAAATGCACGAGCGGCTGATGATGGCAATTGTGCTTCTATATCTGCTGGTCTGCGGCCCATCCCTCCCGCCGAAGTGCCTGGACCTCTCGGCAGCCTCTGGGAGCAACTGGTTGGGACCTCTGGGGCGTGTGCGGGATCTCTCTTGGGGGATTGGCGCCGCCTCTCGCCACCCACCAGACCACCCCATCTCAACCCGAAGGCCTCAGCTCGCCCTCAAGTTCCAGTGGGGGGGGAGGGGTTCGGGGAACATGCGCAAAACACATACGGTACCCGTACCCCCCCCAAAAAACGAAATTCGGGTCTTCGGGTTGGCTTGGGGTGGCGTGGCAGGTGGTAGGCAGGCGGCCACGCCACGTGCCCTGCGGCCCCCATCGCAGTAGCCCCGTGGCCCTCCACCTGTGCTCCTGAGAACAAGGAAGCATCATGAGCGCAAGTCTTATGATGTTCCAGCCTACTGTAGCCTTGACCACCAAGAAGAGTGTCGTGCACCAGGAAAGTACCGAGACGTGAAGTCTTGCACGTGTCGGGCCCTGGGAGGCGATACTCGGTCGACACCGTTTCGATACTCTTCTGGATTCTCGGCCTTATTTCTGGGATGTGGCCCTGAAGTGCGATGGGGGCACCATAACACAAGTGGTCGGAGGCCCGCCCAGAGCCCTCTTGGATCTGTGATGCGCCTCCGGCGCCGCCCTGGTGCCGCGCTCCTGGCACCAGGGTTAAGTCGGGCCTGTCCCTCTACAGGGGACTTATTCAAAAATAGTCGAAAAATAGTCTAGGGATTCTTCTTTTTGTTTTTTGGGCATCTTTTGAATATGTTTTGAATCTGTTTGATTCTTCGTTCCATAATCCCACTGTAGGGGGACAGGCCCGACCCAACGCCAGGACCACCCGCGCGGACCTCGGACTGCTCTGCGTCGGGCGGGGAGCATATCTGCAGCAGCACCCACGGCCTCGCGGGCCGCGGCCCCGCGGAGACGGGGCTTTTGTTGCTCGCGGGTGCCCCGCGCGGGGCGTATCCGTGCGTCCGCGCAGCCGCCGGAGCGCGCTCCGGAGTCGATGCCGCGAGGGCGCGGGTGCGGAGACGTGGGCGCCGCCCGCGAGCTCTCGTGTGCACGCTGCGGCTCGTTGTGCTCCCCGCGTGCGGGCAAGGCAGTCGTGTCCGTACCCATGGCGTCTTGGACGCTCTCGGAAGGGGCGTCACACGGCCGAGGCGCAGTCCGCATGAACAAGCATCTGGCCGCTCTAGGGGCCAGACGTTTATCCACATCCACTGCGCCTCCCTGGTCCCAAGCAGTGGTGATGGGTCCTGGCGTGCCTAATTATAGGCCTACCAAGCAATGTTCAAAGAACCTTTTGTGGTTTCCAAGACATGTTCTTAGAACATTTCTGGCTGGGACTGTCCTGTTTTAGCACATCGGGCTCATGTTCTCAGAACAGCGTCATTTTTTTGATTATTAGAGAATTGTCGGTTCTACGAACGTTTCGTGGTAGGCCTACAGGAATGCCGGGACGGTCGGTCTTTGGGGAAGGGAGCCCGACACTCCAAGACGCAGTGGATGTGGCTATATACTTGGAGATCCGACGGGGCGAAACAATTCAACAGCGTAACACATCACGCACAGAGCCCTCGACCCCATCGTTTGCGCCGTTCGTCGAGCTGGATCGATCTGTGAAGGTCCCGTGGCTGGAGAACAAGGCGACGACGCCCGGCTCGAAAAAAAGGAGACGCCAGGATCTCAGGGCTGGATTTCTCGGGCGGGGCTAGGATGAGAGTGAATCCGTTCGAGAGCGTTCAGGAACTCTCTGCGGAGGCCGCGGCGCCCGATGCATCCTCCAGAGTCGCCAGATCTCAGAGGTTATCGACATATCCTCACCCGATGTTGTCCTCGTCCTGGCTTCGTCTTAAAATGGAGACGCCAGGGTATCAGGGCTGGATATGAATAAAACTCTTGCCCGCACCGTGCTTGAGCCGGCAGCGTGTCCCAGAAAAGCGTTGCCCGAGTCGTTCCCCATATACGTGCTCCGCAAGCCTTTCACACAGCTCCTTCGTGGCGTTTCCTGGGTACCTTGGAAGCGTCTTTCTCGAGCTTGCAAGCGTTCCATGCGTCCTTTGAGCCTGTTTGTTTGAAAGGTCTGGGCGAGAACGGCCGCGATCGGCCCTCTCCCTCCCCCCCCCCAGACCACGTCGTGTGCGAGGATTTCCGTCGAATTCTCTCAGGATGTCTTAAGATTTCCGGCGGTCCCCCCCCGTGATGTGATCGGGGGGGGCGATTTCCCCCCCCCTCCCCCGATCCCGCCCGTGATCGCGCAGAGTAAAATGCAGGCTCCTTCGTGTCCTGGGCTCCCGGGACCTTGAGATCCGACGTTGACTTCGCAGAAAATCGCGACCAGAGCCCCAGGCCCCATCCTTCTGCGCCATCTGTCGAGCCAGGTCCCGGGGCCCGAGACGGATTCATCTGTGAGGGTCCCATGAGTTCAGCGGAGGCGTCTTTCTCGAGCTTGCAAGCCCAGACCCCCGACGTCACGATTCTCTCATGACGCGACCCCCAGAGGTCCGGACCTATTCCCCGGGACCAGTTTTTCATTCCGAGTCGTTTTCTGACGGCCCCGAGGCCCGGTGAGGGCCCCCAGAGGCCAAACATGGCGAAAAACCTCCTGCCGTGACTGCTCATGCCTCGAGGGGGTCTGGGGAAGCGGCCCTCTCTAGCTTGCGAGAGCGTTCCAGGCATCCTTCCGAGCTTCCGTGCTGCAGCTGCGTGCTCAGTTGCGGGCAATACTTATATCGATATCCAGAGCGTCTTGGACTGTTTGGGAAGGGGTGCCGAAAGGCCGAGTCGCACTGGTTATTGATAAAAGTCGAGCCTTTGAGGGCCAGATGTTTATCCATATCCAGTGCGCCTCCAGTTTCTGGGGAAGGCAGCCCAAAACGCCAAGACTCACTGGATGTGGTTATAACCATTGCCCGCATCAGCAGCAGCGGCGGCGGATGTCCCGCGGGCCGGCGGCCGCGAGGCGGCGGCATCGAGCGGGGCTGGGCGGCCGCCGAGAGAGCGCGCGCCCCGCGGCGGCCGCGGGCGGAGGGCCGCGCGCGCGCGCGTTGTTTCGGAGAGGCCGCGGGGGACCTTCGGAGGGGGGGGGGGTCTGCGCAGAAGCAGGGCGGCGAGACGGGTACGGATCCATTGCTCCTCCTCCTCCTCCTCCTGCCCTCCGCCTCCGCCTCATCCTCCTCGTCGTCCTCCTCCTCCTCCTCGTCCTCCTCCTCATCCTCCTCTTTTTCCTCCTCCTCCTCCCGTTCCTCCTCCTCATCCTCCTCCTCGTCCTCCTCCTCCTCATCCTTTTCCTCCTCCTCTTCCTGTCCCTCCTCATACTCCTCCTGCTCCTCCTCCTCCTCCTCCTCCTCCTCTAGTTACCTCCTGCTTTCCGTCCCCGTTTCCTCCTCCTCCCGTTCTTCTTCCTCCTCCTGCCTTCCGCCTCCTCCTCCTGTTTCTCCTTCTCGTCCTCCTCCTCCTCCTCCTCCTCCTCGTTTTCTCCTCCTCCTCATCATCCTTTTTCTCCTTCTCCTCCGTTTCCTCCTCATATCTCTTCATTTTTCTCTCCCTCCTGTTCCTCCTCCTCCTCGCCTCCTCCTCCTCCTCCTCATCATCATCATCATCATATCATCATCATCATCATATCATCATCGCAGCATCATCATCATCACGATCATCATCATCATCATCATCATCATCAGCATCATCTCATCATCATCATCATCATCATCATCATCATCCATCTTCCTCCTTCCTTCCGCCTCCTTGTCCTCCTCCCGCCCTTCCCTCCTCCCTCCTCCTCCTCTCCTGCCTCCTCCGCCTTTTCCTCATTCTCCTACTCCTCTCCTCCTCCTCCTTTGCTTGCTCCTCTCCGTTTTCCCGCCGCCTCCTCCTCCTCCTCCTCCTCCTCCTCCTCCTCCCCTCCTCTCCTCCTCCCTCCTCCTCCTCTACCTCCTCCTCCTCCCTCATCCCTCCCTCCTTCCCCTCCCTCACTCCCTACCTCCTCCTCCCACCTTCCCGTTTTTCCCTCTTCCTTTCCTCCTGGTCGTTCCTCTCCTCCTTCTTTTCATGATCCCTCCGACTGCGTCTTCCTCCTCCTTCTTTCCTCCTCCTCCTCCTCTTCCCTCCTCCGTGTTTCTCGTTGTTTCCTACTCTTGATTTCCTCCTCCTCCTCCTCTCCTCCTGTTCGCTCCTCTTCTCCTGTTTCCTCCTCTCCTCTCCTTTTCCTCCTCCTCTTCTCCTCCTCCTTTTCCTCCTTCTCCTCCTCCTCCTCCTTTTCTCCTCCTCCTCCTCCTCCTCCTTTTCCTCCTCTCTCGTTTCCCTCTCATCTCTCGCCCTTCTTCTTCTCCCTCCTTCTGATCCTCATTCTCCTCCTCCTGTTCATCCTCCTCCTCCTTCTCCTTCTGTCTCTCCTCCTTTCCCTCCGCCTCCTCCTCCTTCTTATCGTGCTCCTCTCCGTTGTTCTCATCCTCCTTCTCTGAATCCTTCTCCTCCCCCTCCTCCTCCTCCTCCTCATCCTCCTCCTCCTCCTCCACTTCCTCCTCCTCATCATCATCATCATCATCATCATCATCATCATCATCATCATCATCACAATCATCCTCATCATCATCATCCTTATGTTCCTCTTTCTCCTCCTCCTCCTGTTCCTCCTCCTTCATTTCCTCCTCCGCCTCATCCTCCTTCTCACTCCTCCTGTTCCTCCTCCTCGTTGTTCCTTCTCCTCCTCTTCCTCCATTTCCTCTTCCTCCTCCTCCTCCTCCATCAGTTCCTCCTCCTCCTCCCTATCCTCCTTCTTGTCCTCCTCCTCATCGTCCACACCTCCTTTTCCG